GAACCAGAGGAACCTGTCATCCTGACCATCGAGGTGAAAACCAGACTGTCCCTTCTTGCTGCTTTTTGTCTGTGTGGCTAAGGAGAAGCCTAACGTAATAACGTATAAGAATGCCCTTTTGAGTTCGGCATTATGTTGAATTGGAAAAAGTATCATGCATTGGGTCAGTTAGCATCAGGGCTCGTTTTGTAGAAAAAGCCCAGCAGGAACTCATTAGCATAATAGGCCACACCCAACACCAGAAACTCATTAGCATATTAGGCCACACCCCCGCCAGCACAGCTCATTAGCACATTAGGGGGCACCCCCATGTTACCAGAAGTGTGGTTATCCAGCCACACCCACCTTTTGCCTTTTTTTGTAGCAGGAACTCCTTTGCATGTTAGGCCACACACCCCTAATGTAGCCAATCCTAATGAATTTCTGCTGTTGGGTGTGGCCTATTATGCTAATGAGTTCCTGCTGGGTGTGGCCAACTTGGGAGCCAGCTGGAACTCCATTCCTGTGTATTCCTGCCCCAAAATAGCCCTGGTTAGCATTCATATACTTCAGAAATAAATTTATTTTTATTTGTGTGACAGTCGCGTGTATATGATCAATGAATTTGTGTACGTTGTCTTGGCTTTGAGGATACACTTTCCCTCCACAACAAAATAATAAGAGTGTGGTTTGATCGGCGTGTCTGTTTGCAGGCATTCAGGTTGCTTTCTAAAAATTATTTGATCTGAATTTTTCTGCTCAACATATTGTGAGCTTGTTTTCAAAGGAAGGGAACGCAGAGGGAACTAAAACAAAGCTGTGTTTGTCTTCTGCCCCTGAAGGAGGCGATAGAGCACAACTCATTCTTCGAACCGTTAAGAAAACTGGAACAGGGGGATGTGGACGAAGCGTTTAAAACTGTCGACCATATACTGGAAGGTAAACTGCAGCCCATTGGGTGGGACACTGAGATATATACATCTACCCACAGTCCACTCTCTGGGGCACTATGGCCAGATAATTCACCTTCAAATTGAGAGGCCTTTGATCTTTAAAATCATGTCAGTACGGTTAGTGCGCAGCATAGTGTGGTAAACAGCCATTTTACAGTTGAGTTGCAACCCCTAGGAATGTGGGTATTTAACTCAAGCGATCTCCTTTTGATTTCTGTGTACAGACCCAGCCTTTAAAATGCTCCTCCTGAGTTCCCATTCATGGCTTTTATCATCGAGAGATGTAGTGTCTGCGGTTGTCTTCTGCTGCCGGCCTCTCAGTGCTAGGAAAAGTCGGGCTTGGTATTCCCAATGTAATTTTTATTGAATTTTCAGAACTTTAGCAAACATAATGGATCACGAACCAAA